TGAATGTAGAGTTTTACTTTTTTCAATAAAAACAGCTGTTAGTTTATTAGATCCAATAGCATTACAACATAACATTACTATAATATGATCTTTGTGAGGTTTTGTTTCTACAACTGGTCCAGTTGATAAAGTACGATTAGGTTCTATTCGCCAATAAAGTCCAGTTTTGTCAGCATTAAAAATATCATCAGGTGAGTATTGAGCAAAAATATTTTAAAGATCTTTTCGCATATTGTCAAGTTCATCTAATAGTGCACTAGCACCCTCTCCTTGTTTAAGATAACATTGTAAATTATGTTATTTTTTAAAACCAGTAACCCATCTATCAAATTCTTTAAAATCTTCAATATCAAATAATTTTGGGAAATTATATTCTTTTTGTACTAAAAGCTCACTGCTAATTGTAATATTATTTTTTATAGCATTTTCAACCTATAAACCTAAAGCTTCTTCGATTTAAGGAAAATTGATTTTGGCTTGTTTTTTAAGTGATGCTTGATAGGATTCAGGATCTAAATCTAACCATTTATTGCTTTTTTTTAATATGTCAGAAATCATGCCTGGTAAAACTTCATATTAGACTGCAAGATCTTTATTTTTGGGTGTTGGTTTTTGTAATTTTTGTTTGCATATATTATGTTTTTGAGTACCAGTAAATGAGGCTCTTGTTTGCTTTATTGAATTCTTTTCAAGATCTTTTGCTTTTGGCATTTTTAATGATTTAAAATTATAAAATACGAAATAGATCTTTTTAATGCTTTTAAAAATTAGATTTTTAATCTAATGTAATTAAAATAAAAATTTTTCATGATTTATTTTTTGAAATATAATTTTTTATTTCCTTATTTAGGATAATGCCAGATGGTATTATATATAGTATTGCCTTGAAAAGTATCCTATTTAAATCGCACCAGGATACTATTCAATTGTAAATTTTAGCATTTTCGAAAAGTATCCTGGTACTAATTAATTTAATATATATTATAGTCATGATCAAATTAATATAATTTGAATTCATTAAATTTGAAGAAAAGTATGCATATTTCTTGTTTCTGTTTATAGCTATACATATATGATTCTTATTTCTTTAAAATTAATTTCTCTAATTGCTTTATTTATTATAATTACTTTTTTGATAATTATTTGTAAAATAAGCTTTAAAATTGATTTTTATATGCTAGATACACAGCATCAATTAACAGAATAATGCTAACATAATGAATAATTCACAAGTTTCTATCTTTTTTTGTTTGTTAATCTATAATTGTATTATATACATATAGTTATGAATTGTATTGTACACTATAAGTGTAACTACAAATACAAATACAATAAACAATAGCAGATGAACAATTATTAATCATAAATAGTAGTTCAGATAAACGTAAATATTATATAATTTATATATCTATATTATATATTATATATAAAGTTTAATTATCTCAGAGCAAACCCCTAAAATTTGGATGCTAGTACCGCAGTATCTAGTGATCTGAACTTTTACTTCATGTTGAAGTGAAAGTTTAAGAATATGATAAATGATATTTTTTCTAATTAAATGTATTTCTTTAGGATTATAATTTGTATAGTTCAGAAAGGTTAATTAAATACCCAAACTTTAGAGATCATACCTTAAAGTAATTTTAATCGATTATATACGTAGTAAATAATTTAATAATTTTTAGTTTCAATAACTAGTTAAATACAACTAGTTAATGTTATTATATTGTATAGTGCAAGCGAATATCTGCAAATAAATATGAAAAAATCATAATACTTTAAAATTTATCTTTTGTCAATAGCCAATCAGTTATTTTTTAGATCATGTGATCTAAAAATTTTTAAGCGAATTTTCTATATTAAATTCGGTATGATAAAAAATTCAGTAAAATTAAATATATTTTGTTATATTCATAATATACTTTTAATTCGCTATTCGTTAAAGTAGAACTAATTATAGAAAATTCGTTATATTTAATTATTTTATTTATAAAAAATTAAAATTAATTAAATAATTCATTATAAAACAAAATTTGTAATATAAAAATTCATTATATCAAGCTTTAACTGTAATATATAAATTAGTTTGTGTAATAAAAATAAAGATTTTTTTCAAAAAATACTAATATCTCAAGAGTTTGTTTATAAAACTACCTTCAATATTCTAGCAAAAAAAATCCTTTACTAAATTTTGTATATATATAACACCTTGCTAAAATCTCAGACCTCGTTCTAACTCTAAAGTAGAAGAAATGAATTTTTATTTTGTTTTATCACTATTGGCTAATTATATACTGATAATGATCACTGCTGATGATTTGTAGTTAAATTCTTATTAAAAAGTTTTTTACTTGACAAAATATTTATAAAATAATAATAAAAAATATATTAAAAGATAGCTTAAAATCTATTTTATCTTGTATAAAAAAATTATAAATAAATTATTAAAATTTAAAAAATTTTATATATTGACAAAATTACCTAAAATACAAATCTTTTTGCACCAAACTATAATATCAAATACTACTAGTACATTTAGTATAATTTTTTTTATTATTAAAACATGTTTTAAAACATATATTTCAAACACAAGAAAATAAAAAAATATTTTTTTTTACTATCTCTATTTCATATAAACACTATAACTTAGTTGTATTGAATTTTGGTTGCCAACCCCGTAATCATATTGAGGTTAGACTACACTTATATTTGTAAACTAAAATATTATTTCTTAAATTGTATTTTAAACAAATGTTATCTAAAAATTAAAAGTATTTATAGTTTGTTAAAAAATATTATCAATAATGTGGTAATTTAATATAGTAGCTTGATTGTTATATATTAAGTAGCAAAGTCTAGAATTTAAACTTTACCATTATTAATAACAAAATTTAAAAATTAATATAACTAGTTATACTAATCTTTTTGAGTTGGTTCTAATTATACCAGCTTTATTATAGGCTTGATATTTAGAAATTTTACGAAAACCCCAAATAATAAAGAAATACCAATTAGTTTAGATAGTGCAAATTTTTAGCAAAAACTACTATATATATAAATCTATATAGTTCAAAGTAACTTTGAAAATAAAATTAAATAATTAGGCTTTTATTATAAATTTTATATTATTATTAAAGTTGCAACATTTAATCTTTACTAAATATATATATATATTAATTGATTACCATATATATTTATATTACTACTACTTAACCTAAATATTCTATAATTAATTAAGACTTACATCAAGCTTTACGAATATCTTTTTATATAACTGGTTATTTATAGTTAGTCTTATTAACAGTGATTTTAGTAATAAGAATATTTATTATTTAAATTTATCTAGTTTTTGATTATTTCAGTTGTACATACTGCCCAAACTAACAACTTTTAAAATCTGGAAAAACCTTATTTGGGATATCATAATTTTAAACTCTGGCCAAATTCAGAACTCAACCCAAATCTAATTTCTGAATCTCAAATTTAATTGTAATATAACTATATAGTAATAAACTAGAAAAACGAGAACCATTGTAAGTCTAGAGCATAAGTAATGCAATGCAGTCAGACTAGATAATTTACTTACTATTATAGTACTCAAAAAAAGTATCTGAATACACTAGAAATTCTAGCTAGCTACAACTTAACAAACATGATATACAGTCATCAGGCTGTCCTACTCTATATATCTAACTTATTCTCGAAGTAGCTACAGCAAACAGTGAAATTCTTCTAGGCATTTGCTATTATTAAAGTTTATATAGAGAAATAGGTAGCGGTTGTTACAGGTAGCATTTGTGTTTACGGTTTCAGAAGGTCTAAAAAGAAAGCATGCTAAAAAAAATCTCAGAAATTCACTAATTTAATTAAATAAATAAGACTTATTAAACATATATTTTTGTATACTTTAAGTGACTAGAATCGTGACTACTTATTATACATTAAATATATAATACTTGTTTAGTACTTATCTACAAGTCGAACTCTTCTTCCCAATCTTTATTTTAACTCTTTGTATAGACCCTTAATTAGTTCAAATACATGCCTTTTAGAGCAACTTGAAAACTTCCTATTGCTATATGCAACTATCGTTCTTGAATTTTTATTGGTGATCTGCTCACAGAGCTTGTTATATGCCTTATTACAGTTAATGTATAACTTTTATCATATACGAAGCCAATGTCTTGCACTATAGAATTCAATAAGAGTGCGTATATATTGAAGAACATATATAAGATAATTGTTATAAGAAGTGATAGAAGAACATAATGGTGTCAGAATATCTATTTTTAAACAAATTGTTAAAGATAATATATTTCTAGTAAATTTAAGAATTAAAATACTTACTATATAAAATCATTTTAATTGGATTATTGCTCTTAATCCAAACTTCTCTTTTTTTTTTTGCATGTGTATAACTAGCTAATAAATACTATTTTTTAGTTGAGCAATTAATTTTACATTTTTTTTCAGTTACAGCTACAAATAAATCTCTTCGACCTAGATCCAAACCAACTACACAATCACCATCTCTAATATCTAAAGGATAAAAATTACTCTTCTGATCAAATTCGTAAGCATTTATATCTTCTTTTATTTTATTTTTTTTAAGATTTACACTAACACTCATTCCATTTGTCATAATACTAAATCTAAATCATTATTGTGTTGTTATAACCTTTTCAATTCGAAATGCTATTCTTCACCATTCCTTAATATTTTTACTAAAATTAGATTTAAATATTTTTCCTAATCCACAAAATTTTGTTTTTGAAAATACTTAATACAAAGTATCAGAGTCTATTAGTACAAACTGCTAATGAAACTTTGTATATGGTAGAATTGTAAATAAACGTAATTTATAGTCTTGCTTATATGAATTGTATCAACTTCCTGCTTCTGCATGATTATTTTTTTCAAATATAATAAGAATTTTCTAAAGTGGTCAAAGATAATTTTACTATTCTTGGCTAATAGCTTTTTTAGAAATTAATTTGTTTTCTAGTATAGTTTGTTTTGCTTTTTTAAAATATAATATGTACGAATTTTGACACGAATACAATATTAAGATTTAAGGTTATAAACAAAC